TAGACAATATGATTTTAATGCATATTTTAATTATATGTTTTATATAAATATCAAATAAAATATTTATGTTTCACTTGATTTTATGAAAATAATTCAATGCCAAAATAAAAAGTATACATCTAAAATTATAGTCTAAATATTACAATTTTGATAAATAATCATCCATTATTTTACAGTACAAAAATTGATAAAAAATTAATAAAAGTGCCAAAAATCAAACATTTTATAGATTTGGACTCGGATTTCTCAGAACTTTATCCATGTTAGTTTCAGGGATAGTATGAATATCAATTTGCAGTCGAAAATTTATATGATAAGTGATTAAAACATTATAGATCACAATAAAAAAGCGACATATTGAATTTAACATTAATCAAAACAAATTCTGACAGTTCAAAAAAAAAATGAATTTTTAACGACTTCAATAAGATACAAATAAATTAATTATTCCAAGTTATGTTATAGGCAATATTGGCAATCAAATTATAGATATAAATTATATCATATTATATTAAATTTCGAACCAAAAAGGAAATATTTTGGCATTTAAAAATTTAGTGCATATTGGATATTTGAAATTGACATTCAATATTTTTAAATTAAATGCGAAAGTAAAAAATCTGATATTTATAAAAATTATATATTTAGATAATGGTACTGCGATGATTCAGACTAAAATCTAATTTATTCATTGATTAAAAATATTTCACTATTTGACATAAATAAAATTAAAATAAACAAAGCATTATGATGCGTTCGAATTAATTATCAAAATGTAAAGAAATTCGTGTAATAAAAATGTAACATTATTATTAATATATCATGTATATTATAAGAACTTTGCAATTCGGAAAAATATTTTTGATGGCAAAACAGCGTTTGCCGGGTCGGCTAATATATATATATATATATATATATATATATACATATATACATATACATATACATATACCATTTGAGCCCTTATATACATATCTTATATGTAAAAATGGAGCTCTCGATCAAATGATTCGCTAAAACTCGAAAACGGCTAAACCAATTTGGTCAGAGCTAGTCTTGAAAAATTTGTGCCAATCAGTAGATTGTCGGAAATGTGAGGTGGTGCGATATTATATCAAAATCGCGTAGAAACTTTACATTTTTATTTTGAACATTTTTGTAGAAGCGTAATTTGAATAAAACAATGGAAGGTGGCTAATACGTGAAATGTCAAACTTTTTCACAGATGATGTTCAATTACATTTAATAGGATGTTTTACGTGAATATTATTTAATTATGATTAAATTTTAGTAAGTAGTTTTTTTGTAGTTTTATTTATATACAAAAACGTTATTAAACGGATCGCAAGTGTTTCTAGAAACTCAAAATATGAACTTTTTTGAAATGGTAATATGAAAATGCACTTTTTGGCCTATTTTTCTCAAAGACGGTGCTCTGAAAATTTCATTTGTATAATTATATACTCATTGGTATTTATAAAACATTTTCTAGGTTACATTATTTTTTATGTTATTTAAATTCAGAACGTAAATTTGGAATCAATAAAGGGGACAATTTGTTGAATAACATTTTTCCATTTTAATTTTCCAGAATTTATTGAAAAATAGATAGTAATATATGAAGGTCCTTGGTTAAAAAGGTCCACCACAATGTGTCAAAAACCAGTAAATTTAAGCATTGTTTAACAATAATATTTGAAAATAGAGGGAAAAAGATGTATAACCAGCTATAACCTTGATTCTTATGACTTTGCTATTTGGGAGATAAACGGTAATCTTTGAAAATCCATAATAAAAGTATTTTCTTCCGTTGTAGTTTTTTAGCATTAGTTAAAAATGTAATTATTTTGTAAAATACTTTTAAAATAAAATAAGACTTTAAACCTGTTTGCCACCTGGCCGTTCTAAGTTAAAAGCACATTTCTACGATACGATAATTGTTTGTTTGAAATGTGTTATTTGTTGTGATATATTGAATTGGTTTTCACAATATAGTTTATATTTGTTCATAGTCAAATTGGACCTTTGTGCCTCGCCCTGCTCTACATACATACATTTTATTAAATTTACTTTAATTCATCGAATGCTACTTGAAACTGTTCAAAAAGCAGGTCAAAGAAGAAATACTTAATTCATTTTCTATCTCTCCTCACAGAAATTTGAAAATTTTATATAAGCTCAGTAGTATTATTTACAATTATAACACAAAATCCAGATTTCAAAAGGAATCTGAAAAACTTGAAACGTAATCAATAAGTCGAAAGACCAAAAAAGACTTGGATTGAATGAATTATACCATGTTTTCTATAGAAAGTGTATAAAACTTCCAGTTTGATTGTATTGACAAAATATAGACAGTCTAATGGGGTTTATTGTTTTTTTAATACCTCATTGTAAAAGGCATTCAAACAACACGTCCTTATACACTTAAAGTATTAATATTTTTGATTCTCTAGAAATTGGTTAGAATAGCAAACTTAGCAAAACAACGTTTATCTAGTCTGATATAATTTTAGTTCAGATTTTTGAGCTTGAAGAAAAAGCTTAATTTTTTTCTTTAACACCCTTTATTATTATTAAGGTTGTTCAATCCTATTACTATTTTTAATTTTGGGTAAACTTTTTTCATTTTAATTTTTTCAATGCCGAATTGACAAAATATACGCAACGCTTTTTACTTCAAAATACTATATTTTTATCATGGTTTTCCACCCCTAACATTTTTTATAATTTTTTTTGCTTAATTTTCTTTTAATTTATTTACAATTTGAAATTGAAAAATGCATAGAACTCTCTTTACTTTATATTAGAAATACTATTTGTTTTTATCAAAGGTTATCCACCCCTATTTTCTTAAATTCTGGAATCAATTTTTTTAGTTTTAATTTTACCTTAATTTGGCATAATATTAGTTAAGATTTTTTTGAGTATATGAAAGTGGTTAAATGATACCTCAAAAAACAATAAATTTTTATTAAGGGTTGTCTAACCCTACGACATTTTTTCAATTATGAGCAATTTTTTTATTGTAATTTTTTTAATTTGGAATTGAAAAATACACACATTCTTTTTACTTGGAAGCACTATTATTTTTATCAAGGGTTGTCCACCCTCCAATTTTGCGGCCAATGTTCATTATTTTGATTTTCTATAATTCTAAATTGAAAAATACGTGGAATTCTATTTTCTTCGAAAACTATTTATTTTTATCAAGAGTTGCCCACCTCGATTTTTTAAATTTTGGAATAAATCTTCTTTTAAATTTAATGTTCATAATGCGAAATTAAAAAATGCACACAACTCTAAATTTTCACTCTCTCCTTCCTTAAAACTCTTTTTAATAATATCCATTTTAGTAATCGAATAATTTTTCATCACGCTTTCAGTCATATTTTTCTGGTCTTATGACAAAGCATTAATTTTACTTAAAAAAATATTTTTATCAAGGGTTGTTTGCTACTCCCATTTTCCCATTGTACAAATATTTCCTGATGCGCACAAACAGTACATAGTTGATAAATGGTTTGCATAAAGAGCAATTTTTGCAAAGAAATAGAGGTTGAATATTAAAATCTGAAGATACAACCGTTTTTGATAGAGAACTATATGTACCATACAAATCTATGGCCAAGCTGTAAAAACTTTTATTATCTCATTTTTTTCCAATCTCAGTCAATTCGCTGGGCATTCCACATAACAATATAATTAACTTTCTGTAGAGTAAGTTATTGTAATCGTCCAAAAATCGAAATTATGCATTGTATCGTAAACATTTTTTTTACGTTTTGAAGGTTTCTGAACATTTTGGCATACCTCAGAAAAAATGTGTGTGTGTGTATATGTATGTATGTGTGGATACAATTTTTCGTCCACGTTTTCGGGCGCACGTATCAACCGATTTGAATGGTTCAAAAAACATTCAAATTTTATTGATAGGGATATGTGCTGATTAGTTTTTGGCAAGGGCAGGTCCAGCCGTTTCGGAGATACGGAGCAAAAAATGCAGAAAATAGAAATCGAGTTTATGAGAGATCACAGCATCGGATTTGAGTGATCCAAAAACATTCAATTCGTAATGACGGGGAGAAGTGGTGACTAGTTTTTGACAAAGGCAGGTCGAGCGATTTCGGAAATATAGAGCTAAATGTGCAAAAAATGTCAGTTTTTAACAAAATAATTGCTTTTTGAAAAAAAATTGTTTCAATTTTTTTTTCATTTTTTTTTTGTATATCGAAGATAATTCAGATTTTAATTGTAATTCTGACTTAAGTTTTAATATACTTTAAACAAATATTTTCAACTTTGCAGTTCAGTTAATATAATTCTTATAAATATTAGACAATGTTTATGTTACGGTATTTATTTATAATAATCTATTTGAAAACATTTAATATTCCTCGATCATTTCATTATGGTACGCGAAGTTACAGCAATTTACCTCAAGGCACGATTCCATACACAACTAGTTTTTAATTTCGAAGCCGCTGGACCTGCCTTCCTAAAAATATAATCATTTTATTTCATTACATCGTCAACGCCAGCAATTATTCTAATCGGATGATCTGTTCTCTCAAAAACTGTATGATCATTTTTTGCACCCTGTGCAAGGGTTCCTCCGACACGGCTAGACCTGCCTTTGCCAAAAAACCAATCGGCACACACGCACTACCATCCACTTTTTTCTAAGGTCTGTCAAAATGTTTAGAAACGTAAAAAATCATTTTAAATTTAGAATAATGCTGAACTTATATAGAGGCACTTGTTGATTTCTAGTGAAAGTGAAAATTTATTTTCTAAATAAACAGTTGAAATTACCTAAATAACTAAATCTCAATTGTTATTGATACTAATGGACAACACAATTGATAAAAGCCACTTACGTCTAGTCGAATTTTTGTGTATTGTCAACATTGTCATTATTTTTTAAGTTTTAAATATAGTTATTATTCGCAATTTTTAGCCGTTAATAATTACAACTTACATTTCTTTTCTCTTTTCAGACAAATCTAGTTCTGTACAGCACCCAGATCTATCCCACCACATTTCGGACAAGATCAGGAACAATTTGAAGACTTTGATCAAAAATTTTCCGAAAGGCGTTTCATTGACATCTATAGATTCACATTATGAAAATAACTTCGGGGAAAAATTATCCTACAACGAGTTGGGATTTCCGAATGCCTTAGAATTCTTTTTACAGCTATCGGACATTTTTTGGTTAGAGAGGATATCTGAATTTGGTGAATTTATTTTATTCGATCAGTCGCTCAAGATACCTGAGGATTTAATAAAAAATCTAAAGGTACAAGAGAAGGGTGTAGAAAAGGATATTGAAGATGTTTCAGCTGTATGTAAGGATGAAACTTTTAAAAAGATAATGGTGAGTAATTGATTGTAAATTTTTATATGTAAGCACCCATAACTTGCTTGGTGTAGATTTGAAATGGATTTTTCCCAGAGGGAAAGTTTGTTTTCACGAAATATTCCGATTTGCTTGTTTCATGTTTCTTCAACCTTACAAATCATTCATCATTTGAGATCAAATGTATATGTGCGCACTAGGGTTTATACAAAAACCGACATTTCAGAAAACCGTTTTCGAATTTTAATTTTACCAAAAAACCGGTTTTAACCGGTTTTAGCCGGTTTTTTTTATTAAATTTTATTTTTATTAAATGTTATTTAAATTTTTGCTCGAATATTCTGTAATTTATCCGCAAATTTAGTGTTAGAGCAGTATTTTTCTGTATTTATTTATTGTTCAATTTTATAGATAGTAAACAAAATTATTTTAATTTTAAAACTAAAAAATAATAGTTTATCTTAATTAAATAATTTTTAAAATAATTATTCGTTATTGATGCATCAGTTCCACATATAAGAATGAAAATATTTTTATGATAGTGGAAGAGAAGTATTCGAATAAATAAAAATAATACATTTTTAATACATACTTGTTAATATCAATTTTAGTTTTAAAAACAATTAAGCTAACCTCGGGTATTGTCTGTTCGAACAATTGTAATTAATTAATTTTAAACATTCTAATTGTTTTTTTGTTTAATAAAATATGATTTCAAAAAACTGAGAACGTCTATCAAATTGCTACTTAGACATGTCCTTTGATTACTCACAAAATTTTCTGAAATAGAAAATACGCTCATACTTGCAACCAAATTATGATTAATTGTTTTTAAAGCCTGATATAATAATTCTAAGTTTTTTGTTTTTTAATTTGTGACTTCTAGGGTTTAAAACTCTTTTTCTTTAAGATTGAGTAGAGAAAGTTACTTCTTCAAGAAGAAGTTACACTGATTTAAATTAATATATACACTGGTATAAAAATCTAAATTAATATATACAAAACCTTTCTGGGAACCATTGCAGAGTGATAAGATATGAAATGCTATTGAACCAATATGGTTTCAAGAATCAAGACGCCGTCATCTATCTTTTATATTTGGCTATATTTGTCATTTTCCATTTATACAGTGAAAACCGACTTATTTAACTAAAAAACCGGTTTTCGAATTCCATAATTTTCGCAAAAAAAACGGTTTTTGAAAATCGACCAACCCTAGTGCGCACGTGTATGTAAGCCGATTTTTGATTTTTCCTCGACTTTTTCTTAGAAACAGCAGAACCGATTTCAAAAATTCAAAAGCAATTCGATGTATCCCGATCAGGCTAGCGTTTATCAGGTTTGCGCCGCGATCGGTCTAGCCATTTCTTTGTAATCAGCAAAAATTTAAACATTTTCGTCTACAATTATGAACCGATTTAAAAAATTCAAAAACCGTTTGAAAGGGTTAGTTTTTAGTGAAGATCGACAGGTTCGTTTTTCTTGTATTTAACTATTGGAGAAAAAAATCGTTAATTTTTATGAAACTTTTTTTGAATATATATATAATTATCTTATAGAACATACTAAAATATTACGGCCCTAGGACAAGTATTTCAAAGTTCTAAAAAATGATTAGCGCTTTTTTGACGTTTGTTAAAATTGGACGTTTTACTTGTACTCCAGTCAATAGAGCATTTTGAGTCTGATTTTTTTTACTATGCTCTGATTTCGCGACCACCCCCCGGGGGGATGACACCCGTTCTCAGTAGTGTAATTTTATTTGTTAACTTCCCGTAGGGTATGTTATTGTAATAGCCCAAAAATGTGAATTGAAAATTTTTACATTTCTCGACGTTTTGAAGGTTTCTGAACATTTTGGCATACCTCAGAAAAAATGGATGCGTGTGTGTGTATGTTAATTTTAGCAACTTTAAAAAACCTCTTTGGAAAGCAATAAACATTCAGTTTAATGACGGTCAAGATATATTATCTTCGACACTTGTAGAGAAACATCCCTTCGGAGCGATGGGATTAAAAGTTTAAATGGTTCCGAGAAACTCAAACCCATGTGTTTGCATATTGAAATTCAAAAATTTCAAAACATGAATATTTTGCGTTAAAAAAGAATCGAAATATAATTATTTCAAATAATAATATTTATCAATTTCTATATATAGTATTTTGCGTAAAAAAGAATCGAAATATAATTATTTCAAATAATAATATTCATCAATTTCTATATACATCAATAATAATATTCATCAATGTCTATATATATATATATATATCGTATTAGTATTTTGCGTAAAAAAGAATCGAAATATAATTATTTCAAATAATAATATCATCAATTTCTATATACATCAATAATAATATTCATCAATTTCTATATATATATATCGTATTAGTATTTTGCGTAAAAAAGAATCGAAATATAATTATTTCAAATAATAATATTCATCAATTTCTATGTATTAGTATTTTGCGTAAAAAAGAATCGAAATATAATTATTTCAAATAATAATATTCATCAATTTCTATATATTAGTATTTTGCGTAAAAAAGAATCGAAATATAATTATTTCAAATAATAATATTCATCAATTTCTATGTATTAGTATTTTGCGTAAAAAAGAATCGAAATATAATTATATCAAATAATAATATTCATCAATTTCTATATATTAGTATTTTGCATAAAAAGAATCGAAATATAATTATTTCACATAATAATATTCATCAATTTCTATGTACAGTAGAATCCGATTAGTATGACGCCGGATATATTGACAACCGCTTATAATGACGTAATTTTAAAGGCAGTTTGGTTTCCATATAAAATTTCTTAAAAAAACAGCTGTCTAGTCGGATATGTTGACCTCGCTTACATTGACATTTCGCTTATAATGACCCATTTTTGAAAAAAAAATTGGTCCAGGTATAATGACCGACATGATTTTACACCTCCGATAACATAGAGTTCATGTTTTTCATTGCAAACCCTTGTGTGTCAGGTCGCTACATACCTTCAGGTCTCTATGTTGCACGAGATTCGCGCTATGAAAACTTTGGCAACTTCCGGCATCGTGCCTCGTGCAAAAAATAAGTAGACTCATTCTTGGTGTTCGAAATTTGGAAGCGATAACATCTTCTATAATTTACTGAATTAGTAAAGTTCTATATTTTTTACTATTTTTACCCAGTAATTAAAATTCAAACGAAAATTACAGATTCCTTACATTAAAAAATGCATTGTTTGTCATATTTTTAATTAAATTTGTCAATTTGTTAGTATGTGTCATTTTTTACCGTAATTTTTGTATTAAATTACTGAAATTAATAACATATTCGCCAAAAATCGTTTTTTTTTTTTTTCAGTACGCTTAGTATGACGACCGCTTAGTATGACGATTTTTCGCCGTCCCTTGAATGTCATACTAAGCGGATTCTACTGTATTAGTATTTTGCGTAAAAAAGAATCAAAATATAGTAAACGCAAAATAATCATACTTTATTTGTTGAATATGTTTTTATAAAACATTTAAGGTATTTTAAAATCCGTTTCATTTTACCTAAGAATAATAAATAAACATTTTTATTTATTAGTGTGGTCATATTCATTTGGGTTTTTGAGACTGATGACCCTGAGGGATGGTTTTTGGACAATTCTTTGAACAGTTACGACCACCTAGACCTAGAGAGACTATTGTATTGCATTTGCAATGCGTGGTGTTCATAGTTGGTCGGTGAGTGGTGTTCATAGATTACGCTGTCGATTCTTTTTGAGTACTATCGACGAAAAGAATCGATATTGGAAAATAGATCGAGCTAAAAAATCGATAGCAAAAGTACTTACTATCGACCGCAAAGTATCGATATTTACTCAGTACTCGATATTTTGTTCTAACGCTAAGTACGGTACAAAAATTCAAAGGTTACACTCTTTTTTCCTTTCCATTTACTGCAGCATTGTTATGATGTTAGAGTACCTGGGCTTATTGAACATACTAAAACATTATAGTCCTACGGATACTGGTTCAATTATAATAATTGATCGAATTTTGAAAATTTGCTTTCTGAAAATATTCAGGGTTACACACTAATAATGTGTAATAAATCCACTCGGAATACTCATAATTTCATTTATTTATTATTGATTCAGTTGATTTACACATATCAGGAGGTTTATGTAACATTTTTTAAGGCAAAATGCCACTTACAACTAGTTAGATTCATTTTACACATGTAAAATTTTAAAAACTATGAAAATTTGTATTAATTTTGTTTTATAACTTTTTACTTTGTAATAGGGATGGGTCACTCACTCCGGAGTTATTACTCCGATACAACCTCTGGAAATAACATAATTTATTAATATATTGTAGTTTAATGCTAATAATTTTCTTAACTGCTTATTATTTATTATCTTTCATTCATTTCAGGAAATCTGTAACTCCGAAGAGACATTATCAGGAATGATGGGTCCTGGCGATGTAATTGAAAGTATATGGAATAAATGCAAATTCTCATGTGGTTGTCTAATGAGAATTATTATTACTGAAATTTATGATCCGACAAAGTTTTGGTTTGTCCTTGACGATGAAGATCATTTTCAGTTGATGAATAAGATGATGGATGAAATGCAGTAAGTTTATATATTTTTTCATATTTGTACATTTGTATGTATATACAATTATGTATATTTTATATATATATATATATATATATATATATATATATGGGGTGATCCTTAAAATCAGGGGTGGGCAAAAGCCGGCCCGCGGGCCGGATCCGGCCCTTTTGATTATTTTATCCGGCCCGTTGAAAAATTCCGCAAGTTTTTTTAAACGCTTTTATGAGATTTTGTTGACATCAACATTATTAGTGTGCGTACTGTATTTATAATAGTCGTAATAAAATGGGCGGTAGGCTTCTGTGGTTCAATGGTTCTGTAAACCGTTTTCTGAAACAGAATTTGTTAAACAATGTATGGGACAAGCGCCGGAGATCTGTTGTTCTGAAGAGAAACATATTTTTGAAAATGTAAGCCTTTCGAGAAGAACAATAGTACGACGGATTGAAAATAGTTCAGGAAACTTACTTGACCAGCTAACTACAAAAATTGCTAATTTTGCCTATTGTTCTCTGGCTTTAGATGAGTCTTGCGATAATACTGATACAATCCAATTATTAATATTTATTCATGGCATTAACAAGAAATGTGAAATTCGGAGGAACGAAATTGCGAGAAACTTCTTAGTGTGCATCCAATGAAAGGTATACAACTACTGGTGAAGACTTCTTTCTCGCTGTTGAAGAGAGTTTAGTTAAAGTAAGTTTAACTTGGAATAAAATAGTAAGCGTCATTACGGATGGATGTCATAGTTTAATAGGGAAAAATGTAGGCTTACAAATGAATTCGTGACAAAGAAAAAGAGTTACAACCAGAACACGATATATTATTTCCATCCAAAACCTTCGGCCCGGGACACATTTTGAAAATTTCATTTTGGCCCGCGCTTTAAAGTATTTGCCCACCCCTGCTTAAAATGGTCATTTTCGAATTTTCATGCTCCCAGGGGCTCAAATGGTTCCAAATAGATAAACAATTCTCTGAAAGTTTTAGCTCTTAATATCGCTAAGTTCAGATAGAGGGCAATTCAATCAAATTTCGTATGGAAAGAGCATGGAAAAAATTTTGAAAATTTAAAAAAAATGTTTTAGGTATAACTTAGCGACAAATGAATAAGTTTTATTCATTCATTTGTTCGCTAAATTACATTTAAAAAACATTTTTAAAATTTTTGAAAATTTTCCCATGCTATTTCCATACAAAACTTTGATTGAATTGCGCTCTATCTAAACTTTAATATTAAACGCTAAAACTTTCAAAGAATTGTTTTTTATCTATTTGGAACCATATAAATATTCATTAGTTTACAGTTAGGGAAATATCGAATAGTGTAAATATTCATTAGTTTACAGTTCACACTATTCGATATTTCTCTAAAGAAAACATAAAGTATTATACATCATTAGAAAGGTCCCAAAATTCTTAGATCTTTTTCCTTATCTTGCAACTTCGAATTCCTAACGGTGTGGCCTAAAGGCGAGTTGCAGTAAAATTAAATTAATAAAAACTGAAAAATCTCGAAAAAATTATATGAACACACTTAACGATTTATATATCATTTTATTCGTAATTTTGTTCTGCATCTTTTATCCAAATAAAATGTTTTCGTTTCTTTTACGTTTTAGCCTGTAGTTTGGAATTTGTGTGAATATTCAATTGTTCAAATGCAAAGTACGGTTAATCTGTTGGTTCAGCTAGTTATAAATAGTGCAGTAAACGGAGAGGAAAAAAGGGTGTAACCTCTGAATTTTTTTACTGTGCTCCGAATTGAATGAAATTTTGGAATTAGGTTCATCTTACCCCCAAGTTCAAAAGTGAAAACAATGCGGGTTGCGTCATCACCCCGCGTGTGAAATGAGTGAGCTATCATGAAAATAAGAAGCATATACAAAGTTTTTTTCTTGTAAATCATATGGTTTAATGAGTGCCATTTCCACCAGAATTAAAGTAATTTATATTCCATCTAGAATTCACTTCATTATAGACATCTTGATGGATTTTAGCAGATTCACTACTTTAGTACAAACTATTTTCAGAAAACTCACGATTTTATAAAAACTTTTTTTTCCTAGAACACTTTATGTAATACCGATTTATCAAGATTTTTATTGACATTATTTTGTTCATTACATAATTTTCGTTAAAATGTATATTTTAGGAGATATTTGCAAAAAACGAAGAAAAACGCCAAAATTATATGAATTTTTAGTGGCCAGTAACTTGAAAAGTATTAGTTTTTTTGAAAAACTATAAAAGATATTTTTTTCTTATAATTAATTATTCTATCGATTGCCGACGTTATTTTGAAAAAATGTGATTACACAATTGAGAAGGGGTGTCATCCCCCCGGGGGGTGATGGCGCAACCCGAATTGTTTTCACTTTTGAACTTGGGGGTAAGATGAACCTAATTCCAAAATTTCATTCAATTCGAAGCACAGTAAAAAAATTCAGACCTAAAACGCTCCGTTTACTGCACTAAAATAGACATTGTAACATTGTCTATAGTTATAAGAATTATATAAACTGAATTGCAAAGTTGAAAATATTTGTTTAAAGTATATTAGAATTTAAGTCAGAATTACAGTTTAAATCTTAATTATTTTCAATATACAAATAATTTTTTTTTTTTTGAAAAATCTTTTTTTCCAAAAGCAATTACACCTAAGTCTGTTTTTACACGGAGATTGGTTCCAGAAGAATCCGTGTAAAAAAAAACGTCTAAAAAAAGACATTGATCTTATACAAAAATGGGTGATTTGTTCCTAAACTCTAAAACTTATTAAAATTGGTGAAAAACAAGAATTTTTAAGAACAAGAATTAAATTAGTGCTATTCACATTTGCTTTGACCAGTAAAAATTGTTTGTACGCGCTAAAGGGGAATTCACCTAAATCTTTAAGCTAGTGTTCGCAAACTATCGATACTATCGATGGATTCAGACTTTTTTCTTTCATAAATACTTTTTTGTGATATGAACATACTTCGCAAAAATTTAATTTGACAAAAAAAATTTAGGTACATAAAATTTCAAATCGTGCTAAATGGAATAAATTCGTGTAAAAAAATTAAGAATATTCAATTTTCAAACTGTGTTATATCAAAACCGTGTACAAAAAGACCGTGTAAAAACAGACTTAGGTGTATTTTGTTAAAACAAGCAGAAAGGTCTTTGAATCACTCAAATCGGACGCTTAGTTCTCTCAAAAACTGCCATTTTTTGCTCATTTAGTTCTGTATATCCAAAACCGCTGAACCTGCCTTTGCCAAAAACTGATCACCACTTCTCCCCGTCATTACGAATTGAATGTTTTTCGGATCATTCAAATCCGCTGCTACGATTTCTCAAAAACTCGATTTCTATTTTCTGCATTCTCTGCTCCGTATCGCCGAAACGGCTGGACCTGCCTTTGCCAAAAACTAATGAGCACATCTTCCTATCAATAAAAATTGAATGTTTTTTGAACCATTCAAATAGGTTGATCCGTGCGCCCGAAAACGTGGACGAAAAATTGTATCCATACATACATACACACACACACCCATTTTTTCTGAGGTATGCCAAAATGTTCAGAAATCTTCAAAACGTGAAGAAATGTAAAAATTTTCAATTTCGATTTTTGGGCGATTACAATAACTTACCCTACGGAAAGTTAATTAAACTACTTGTCGTAGGGAGCAGCGTCCATTAACCACGTGAGGTTTTTAGGGCGAGGGGGATTTGACAAAAAATCACGAAATATCACGTGGGGGAGGGAGGGGTATAGTAAGATATCACGTGTATTTATTTTTTAACTGTTTCTTTTTTTAAAAATCAAACATTTTCAAAAAAAAGCTCCATTCACAAATTTTACAGTTTTTTCACATAACTAAAAATACGCGTGATGTTTGGTGGGGGAGGGGGGTAATTTTGAATATCACCATGTATCACCAAGGGTTAGGGGGTCCAAAAATCCTTAAAAACTCGCTCGCGTGATTAAGGCATGCCCCCTAAGGCATTAATATTTCAGTAAGTTCTATAAGACCATGATAAATATCGCCAAAAAAGTTCCATAAAAATCGGCTTAAATTTTTTTTTCAACAGTTAATTACAAGAAAACAAGCTCGGTAGATTTTCACTTAAAACTAATTAGTATCATTCCCAACTAATATCTTTTTTGATTTTTTAATATCGATTCGGAAGTATGAGCTTAAATGTGGACGAAAAGTTTAACACTTTTTTTCAAATTACAAAGAAATTGACAACAAATGATTCTCATCGAGATACATCAAATGGCTTTTAAACTTCTGAAATCGGTTCAGGCGTTTTTGAGCAAGCGTCGATGAAAGTTCTAATTTTATCAAACGCCAAAGTAACAATACTAATCTTTCCAAACTTTGACGAATTTTCAAAATTAAACGGCTTGTCGTAGGGCCTTAATATTTTAGTATGATCTAGATGACCATGATATCTATCACCAAAAAAAAATCATGAAAATCGGTGATGATCGGTTAGACCGATCGTCGCACAAAATTGATGAACGCTAGTCCTCATCGAGACACATCGAATGGCTTTTAAATTTTTGAGCAAACGTCGATTTACGGCAAAAAATCTGTTCACGCACACGCGCACAAATACTTTTTCAAATTTGGTCTCATTCGATTCAGAATGGCTTGAAACGTCGAGAAAACATACAATTAGTGAATCGATCCAATGATACAAAAAAATTCGATTCGTAATGACGGGGAGAAGCGGTGGTTAGTTTTTGGCAAAGGCAGGTCCAGCGGTTTCGGAGATACAGAGCTAAATGTGCAAAAAATGGTAGTTTTCGAGGGAACTAAGGTCCGATTTGAATGATGCAAAGAACTTTCTGCTTGTTTTAACAAAATAATTGCTTTTGGAGAAAAAAAAATTCAATTTTTTTTTGTATATCGAAAATAATTCAGATTTTGATTGTAATTCTGATTTAAATTCTAATATACTTTGAGTTCTAATATATTTTAAACAAATATTAGACAATGTTACATTATTTATTTA